TTGCAGCTCAGCAGACCTCTTCTGACACAGCAGAGAGAAAGGGAGGTCACTCCAAAACACAGCAGACAGAGTTTAAAGGATGACTTGCTGAGACCTCCAGCACGGATCAGATTTCAGAGACTAACCATGGTAGATGAGGGCAGGGAAAAGATACACAACAGGCTAAGGCTTGTGAAGAGCTAGGCACTCTCCAACTCCTTGGACTCCTTGATGAAGGAAGTGGCTTTTTTGCTTCAGCTGAGGAAAGAATTCGAACATGTTAACCCCTTAAGTGTTGATACCTTCTGCAATGACAGCTGTACCGCAGGTGTACTATCAAGTCAGTGGAATGTTGGGACATGCTGGTACCGTCAGCAATAGTTAAGGGCTTAATGTAATGTTTGTTCTCAAAAAATTTTTGAATGTATAAGCGTGAAGTATTGTAGTTGTGTATCTGTCAGGGTTAGAACACAGTTCCCTAACAGGGCTATAGCATGGCGCAGGGGGGTAGGTTCTGTCCACACAGGTAAGAAGAAACCATGTTATAACACAGTTGTGCCACACAACTGTTTAACCTGATTATTTTTGTAGCATCCAGAGGGACGGTATGTTACATTCTGCATTAAACTGAAATTAACTTGCGAAAACTGGTCATGCTGTACGTTAGTAATATTCCTTAGGAAGTTAGCCCTTTCTCAATTTGCAAACATTTCACAGATTGATCCTGATTTTTTTTCTACCATGTTAACATTCACCAAATAACCTGGAGGAATAGTTGTCAGATTCTGTGATGTTCTCCTGCTGTTTGATTTGACTGTTTGTTACTGGCTCTTCTTTATTCGTGGCTGGTTGTTGGTTGCCTAAGTCACGTGCTATTGTTTCTCCTCTTTGATTGGATGTATGAAAAATTTTCAACAGAAGAACAATGAATATGGCACTTTCCAGCATGAATTTTCAGACAATTAATCATTTGTTTCAATTATTTCGGGATTTACAGACATTTTCATGAATACCCTCCAGATGTTATATACTGATAAGTGTGGATAATATAACTCCTGGTGTCCTAGCAAATAGAACTCATTGCTTTTGATGGCTGAAATACTGGTGAATCTGTAACTTCTGTTTACTATTCAGCCAGCTTTGCTGTTAGCACAAACCCTCTTACATTAGTATTGTCATCTGTATTCCAGTAAGAGCTGGAAAGTGCTGGGAACTATTCAGAGACACCGTGAGAGGCAGTCTCTGACCCAAAGGGCTCACAGTCTGACAAGACAGACTGAGGGCTTGTCTACACCACGCAGCTTTTAGCGACAAGGCCTTGTGTCGACACAGCCTTGTCGCTAAATGTCAGCATGTGTAAACGCTCTTTGTCGGTACTTTTGCTGACAAAATACTTCCAGCCCCATGAGCGGCGTTAGCTTTGTCAGCAGGGGAGCGGTCCTGCCGACAAAGCCTTGTTCACACTGCCACTTGCGTCGGCAAAACTTTCGTTTTTCACGGGTACTTAAAAAAGTGTCCCGTCCCGTTCCCCCCCTCTCCCCGCCCCCGGGACGAAAGACAAAAGTTTTGTCGACAACTTCTCAGTGTAGACATCCCCTGAATGAGAGAGGGGAAGCTGTGACCCAGAGAGGGTCACACGGCTGCCCCATCAGCATTTCATCTAGGACTAGAACCACGATCTCCTGAGTCTCAGTTGAGTTCTACATCCACTAGACTAGACCATGGTGTCTCTCTAGTTATGACTCTATGCTAATAGTTTTTAATGCCCTGCTCTAAACAGCGCCTGCAGCATTGTTTACACTGGCAAAAATAGGGCCCCTAATTCATTACTTTACTGCTGATAGCACTAGTCTAGGCAAGGCTAGTTATGCACAGGGCTGCTCAGACCCATTCAGAGCAGAGTTGTGATGAATTAAATGCCAGTAGCTGCCCGGAGCACTCTCTGTACTAGCCACCCTAAGCAAGGGTGGGAAACGTTTCAGAAAAGTGGCTAGTGTAGACACAGCCTGAGGTTACGGCGGGTGACCAGTAGCACTGTGTCTAGACAAGGAAAGCCAGGCTTTGCAAGATGGAGTGGGCACTGAAAGGGCAACTGCTTGTTTGTTTCAGGCCCAGCAGTTGCTGTTACCGATAGCTGAAATTGGGGCTAATCCCAAGTACTAAAGGCAGCCTAAGAGTAATGCTGGGCAGGATCAGAAAAGCCCTAGTGCACAGAGAGCTAGACCGCCTAGGACGGGGATTCATTTACAGCACATTCATAGAATCATAGAATATCAGGGTTGGAAGGGACCTCAAGAGGTCATCTAGTCCAACCCCCTGCTCAAAGCAGGACCAATTCCCAA